AACCCTCTGCATGCCTGACAGCTGCCAAATCTTACACACATGTAGAGACACCCCACCCATCACAACTGTCACCTGCACGGCCTCCTCCATCACTACAGTCACCTTCAAAATATGGTCGCTCCGCCAAATGGGGAGGGAAGTCCTAATGTTTGAGAGAGAATTTGTATTAGGGAGAGAAGCCACCACTCCCTGGGGGACTCCCAGGTTCAGTCATCATGGTAGAGCAATGTGGGAAACTATGGAGATAAGCCCTAGCCTGGGGAGGTGGGGAGAAGGTGTTCTTGATAAAGCAACGGAGAAGAGCTCCACAACATTTAAAGGTAAAAAAGGAGGGAAGACAAATGAGAAGTTGAGGAGAAAAAGGCCCCAAACTGGGGAGAAAACACATGAAGGGAAAGAAGGACCCAACTGGGATAAAAAAAGAGAGACACTCCCCAAATGAGGAAGGAGGTAGCTGTGCCAACAGTACGGGAGTTTATTCTTTGCTCTGGGTGCTGATTAGAGTCCATTCTGGAGGCAGAGTTTCTCTTGGGGAATTTGGTGCTGGGCTCAGGTCTCTGGAAGATCAGATCTCTGGAAGATCAGACCTCTGCTGTTTGACCCTCTCCTTCCAAAACAGATGAATAAATGTAAATATGACAAGTTTCACTTAGAGTTTACCCAGACTCCCTGTCACCGATTTCTCCACTGATCTGCAATGTGCTGGACACCTGCCACCACTTGGCTGAGGGTAACACTGGTGTCAGAACAGGACACCGATGCTAGAAGAAGGAGCAACACTACACACACAAACAGTCCTGCCCTGAGGATCCTACAGTCTAAATAGAACAGACAGGTAAAAGGTAGGGAAAGGAAATATTATTATTGTCATTATTCAAATGGAGAATTGAGACCCATAAGAGATTGAATGACTTCCCCGAAGTCACACAGAGACTCTGAGTTTTGTTCCAGCAATTTAATTACATGAACATCCTTTCTCTTACATAGAGCTGTGCTTAGTCCCTCATGTTTCTCAGTATCAGAAGGGCACCCATATTTTTTAACCAACATGACCTCTTTTTCCCCCCTATTTTTCTCATGGTTGAGACTCATAAGGAAGAGCTACTTACCCATTAGGGCCTGAGCTACTGATGAGGCTTCTCACCATGATACCTATTGTGATTTGCTGAAATGTGTAGGAAGAATTCAAAAAGATCTAACTACTGACCAGACCCAAGCAAACATTTGAAGAGCAGTTGGGAGGGAAAACAAAAATTCAAAATGGGTTTTCTAGAAGTGAGGGAACTCTAGTGTGTGTGAGTGTGGTGGTTGGGGGAGGGGGAAGGTTGGACTGACTCAGATGTTTTTGAAATGTCAGGTGCCAGTTCCAGTATTTTAAAAATGTACCATACATTTCAAGGGCACAATTGTGTTCTATCAAAATTACAAGAGCATTCATTGTTTCCATCTCGAATTTGGTACTAGGACGGCTTGCTAATATGTCATATTGTGATGCATTGTAAAGAGACGGGGATACATCAAAAACACGTGACTGCATTAGCAGCTCCATGATTAAGTTTATGTGCAGATTTACATTTGAAACAGCACGGAAAACCCTTTATTTTCACTAGATTACCAGCCCAGACCCATAAAAAACAATGTTTAATTTTCACCAAAAGTGGAATAAATCTTCTAAATATGATTGATAAAGCAGCTATTTACTCAAAATAGTACTGTTTTTGAAAGTTTGGGAAATACTTAGACCCAGGTGATATATTCTATGCATTTTCCCATACTTTTTTTCCTTTTGTTAAAGCAAAAGTCTGTAATCATACAACAATGTGAGACTGTACCATATAATGAAAAAAAAAAAAAAAAATTGTCATCATTTGTAGACAGTACTGATGTGAGAACAGTTTTTCTTTCTGCAATTTTTATGAAGCTAGGCAGACAAGAAGACACCTACCCCCTATTTATAAAATGTTTTTGTTATTATATCTTCAGCTCTGTGGCCATCAGGGATAACATGACCCCCTCCTTCTCAGAATTCTGCCCCTTTGCAAAAGAGGAATTCTAGAAACACTAGAGGAAATCTCAGCCTCCACTTAAGACTCTGATCCTTAATCTTCTAGGCTGATGAAGGAGAGTAAGAGCACTTAGAAAACGTACAAACAACTACTGTCACCACCAGTGTTCCCTCTAATTTTCCCCACTCATATATGGAATTAATCTTGTTATGTACACCAATATAGAAGAGATGTGTGATAAATCACCTCCATATTAGTGCACATAAAATTAATGGGGTGGGGCTGAGGAGTATGTGGGGGGGCTCAGGGTAGGTCAGTGGGGGGATGAGGACTCTGGGGTGGGGCTGGAGATGAGGGGTTAATATATATGGAGATATACCTATCTCATAGAGCTGTAAGGGACCCTGAAAAGTCATCAAGTCCAACCCCCTGCCTTCACTACCAGGACCAAGTACTGATTTTTGCCCCAGAAGTGGCCCCTTCAAGGTTTGGGCTCACAACTGTGGGTTTAGTAGGCCAATGCTCAAACCACTGGGCTGGGCAGAGTTAGGTGAGTACTTCAACTGATTACATCTGCTGCCATATTGCAGAGGAAGAGATGTGGTTTCTCAGGTAGCCATCACCCATTCCATTTAAGATTTTATAGATGAAAAGGGGACCTCTACACTTTGCATAAAATCAGTAGGAAACCAGTGTGGACAATATAGCACAAATGTGTCAATGTACCACTTTATAAATAGGCATCTACAGTCTACCCTAGCTGAAGTTTCTGAATTGTCTTGTATGATCCCAAATAGAGCACACTGCAGTAATTCAATCCCAAGGTGATAAAGACCTCCAGAATTGTGGTTAGATCTGCATCTGAAAGGAAAGGTTGGAAACTTCTTGACATGTGCAGATGGGGAAAAAATAAAACCCCACACTCTTGACCAGATACAGGGATCATCTTTGACACTGACAAATTAATACAAGGCCATTGGCAAATTAATGCAGGGCCACTGTTAAAGCTCCTTAGTGGTATTTAAAATCAAATCAGAACTAAGGTAAAAAGCAATCTAGGATGTGCCATTCTTATTTACTGGCAGATGGAAATATATCCCCATGACTGCAAGCTGCACTACCCAATTTCTCTGCTCCATCTCTTCTCACCTTTTTTAGCTTCCCCTTCTGTGATTTAGAAACAATAAATAGCACTGGGAGCTTGATCTCATACCCTTAAGATTTCCTAGAGACTGGAAATATTGCAATATATCAAAGTAAAAATGAAGGCAATGAAGAGTGCTAAGGGGAAGCAGGTTCAGAGGCCCACAGTATTAGCTTCCTTTTTAGATCTGTTTTCACAGCTCATGAGACTCTCTAGATGTATAAGCAGAGTCAGAATGAGCTCTCCCCTGACATCTGGTGGTGAGCTGTGGAAAAGAACTTCAGGGGGTGATCTTGTTTGCATGGGAACACCTATCCTGCCTAGCATGATGGGACTGCTTGCCCAAATGGTCACTTTGGCTGCTGTGGGATCCCCAGGCTCTTGGTTATTTGTGCAGGAGTAATAAAGGGTTGTTAAACTGGCTATGTGACTCAAAGAGAGTGAACTGTACTTGGCATTGTCTGACTGAGGGACTCACCCTCACCTAAGCAGCACTCGCAAGGCAAGGGACATGGGTTCCAAAGCCTAGTGAATTGAGAAAGTCTGGGGACATGAAATTGTATGTGGGCTGTTTGAGGGTCCCTAAATGCCCTTTTAATCTTTTCTCTTTACTAGATGAATTTCTGAACTTTGGGGCTACACTGACCAAGGACAGCAACTGTGAATGAGATGATTTTTAGGTTGCTGGACTCAAGAACCCCAAGAGAAAGGACATGGCCTAATTTACTTGGGGATGAGTCTTTTGGCTCATGGTTTGTGTTTATGAACTGTAGTTGTGGTGTTTTCCCAATTTAATGCGCTGAGTTGTTTGCCTCCTGTTATTAAAGGTTTGTTTGCTTCCCTGAGACTCTGTGCTTGTGAGAGGAGAAGTATTGCCTCTTAGAAGCACCAAGGGGGGTGTGTGTAATTTTTGCAGGTCACTTGGTGGGTGCTTGAGCTGGTTTTACATTGTGTTGTTGAAAGGGAATCCCTAGGTACTGAACCCGGCCCTTGTTGCTGTCAACTCTGCCTGGCAGAAGGGTTACATCAACAAATCCACTGCCAGCCGCTTAATTTTCATCATGAGCAACTTGCCACAACAAACCAGTGTCCGTCAGGCAGTCTGCCCTGGGGCTGAGGCTAGAGGACTCCCCACTGGCAGCATGGAGATCTGGGGGAAGGGGCCTCTCTCTCCCCGCCGGGAGCACGGAGCTCGGGGGGAGGCGACGCAAACAGCTCCCTGGCAGAATTTCCTATCTCGGTTGTACTGAGCATGCTCACAGGAACTGACCCAGCTCAGTAACATTGCTGCTCTTTTTGCTGTTACACTGACAGCACAAAGCTCTGGGGCCAGGGGAGAGGCCCGCAGCAGCTCTGCACACCCTAGCTTGACCCCTCCCCAGTTCCTGTCCCCTCTCCTCTCCTCACCACCTGCTATTGATAGGGTGACTAGGTGTCCGGTTTACCAATGGAACACCCGGTCGAAAAGGATGCTGGTGGACTCAGTCAGCACCACTGACTGGGCCATTGACTGTCCGGTTGGCGGTGCCATGCAGCGGGGCTGGTAGTCTACCTGGTAGCCTCTGCACCGCATGGCTCCCGGGAAGCAGTCGGCATCTTCCCACTCTGGCTCCTACATGTAGGGGCAGTCAGGGAGCTCCGCATGCTGCCCCTGACCCAAGCACTGCCTGTGGATGGGGCAGAGCACAGAGCCATCTGGCTGTGCCTGCACATAGGAGCCTGGAAGGGGGACTTTCCACTGCTTTTGGGAGCTCCTTGAGATAAACGCCAACTGGAGCCTGCACCCCGACCCACTCCCAGGTACCAACCACCTGCCCCAGCCCTGAACCCTCCAAAACCCTTGATCCCAGCCTGGAACACCCTCCTGTGCCCCAAACGTCTCATTCCCAGCCCCACCCCAAGGTCCACACCTGAGCCCTCTTTCCCCCCCCATGCCCAAACACACATCCCCAGCCCTGATCCCCCTCCCACATTCCGAACCCCTCAGACCCAGCCTGGAGAACCATCCTGCACCCCAAACCCCTCATCCCATGACCCATCCCAGAATATTCACCCCCAGCCATAGCCTTCACCCCCCTGCACCCCAACCTGTTGCCCCATCCTGGAGCCCCTCCCCCACACCAAACCCCTCAGCCCCAGTCCTCACCCCCAGCCTGAGCCCTCACCACCTCTCGCATCTGAACCCACTGCCTCAGCCTGAAGCCCTCTCCCACACTCTGAACCCTTCATTCCCAGCCCAACCCCAGAGCCTGCACCCAGTTGGAGCCCTCAGCCCCTCCCGCACCCCAGCCCCCTGAGCCAGGCCACTGAAAATGAGCAAGTGAGTGAGTGTGGGAAGAGTGAGCGATGGGGCGGGGGTGGAGTGAGTAGGGGCGTGGCCTCAGAGAAGGGGCAGAGAATGGGCGTAGCCTCAGAGGAGCAGAGGCAGGGGGCAGGAAAAGGGTGTTCGGTTTCCTGCGAGTAGAAAGTTGCCCACACTAGCTATTGAGGAGGGAAATGTAACCCGCCAAACTCTTGAGCATGCAGCACTCTGGCCAGTACTTACGAATCCATTGCTTAATGTAGCCAGACTTACAAGCTACCTCCTGTGCTGTTCAGTGATCATGCAGAGCCAGGCAGTCTGACAGAGCTCTGCTACATTTACTGTCTGACTGATCTGCATTGTGCTTAACATGAGCCTCTGTACAACATAACGAGTTCCAACTGCCTCCCCACCGGGTATCATCTGGTCTCCCATTTCCAAGCAACTTAATCAAGAAGCTACTGAATAACTGCATCCATCATCACCTGTCCATTGGCAATAGCCAGCTGGCTTTTAGAGCTGGGCACAGACAGGGCTGGCTCCAGGCACCAGCGCAGCAAGCGGGTGCCTGGGGCGGCCAATGGAAATGGGCGGCACATCCGGGTCTTTGTCAGCAATTTGGTGGCGGGTCCCTCAGTCCCTCTCAGAGGGAAGGACCTACCGCCAAATTGCCGCTGAAGAATGAAGCGGCGGCGGTAGATCTGCCGCCGAAATGCCGCCAATCGCGGCTTGTTTGTTTTTTTCGCCACCACTTGGGGTGGCAAAAACGCTGGAGCCGGCCCTAGGCACAGAATAGAAATAGCACTACTGAGGCTGAGAGTGCTTTGCTTCCAGCCCTCACATGTATCATCCTAGACATTGAGATGTGCTTTGTCCCAGAGCAGCACAGCCATCTCAGCAGTTGATTGATCGAAATTTGCTCTCTCATGTCACTGGGGCTAGAGCCACTAGATTTTTATCATCTGTATTACAGTGGTGTCTGCAGAGCTACCAAGAACAGGACCCCATTGTGATAGGCAATCTACAGAGCATTCCTACAAAGTCCCTCCCCCGAGGATTTTACAGTGTAATTAGACAAGGCAGACACATAGACGGGACAGAGAGAGAACACACAAGCAGAATGAACAGCACAATTGTTTGTAAGTGTCACTTTGTTTATTATTTTCCTGTGGGGTTGGGGGGCATTTCTTATTTTTTTAAATTCTGGGTGGGGTTTGTTAGGTGGGGATTGGCTTAATAGAAAGTAAGATGAAGGACAAGGGGACAAGGAAGGGAAGGAGGGAAGAAATAAGGGGAGAATGCAGGGCAGGTGGAGGGAAACTGAGGTGAAGAGACTGTGAGGCAGAGGGAGGGTGGGAGGGTATTGCAAGAAACAGCCAATCAGCACAGGAAGAGAATGTCAAGAGTAACACGATGCAGCAGTAGGGTTGCCAGGTGTCTGGTTTACAACCAGAGCACCTGGTCGAAAAGGGACACTGGCAGCTCCAGCCAGCACCACTTTCTGGGTCATTAAAAGTCCGGTCGGTGGTGCAGAGAGGCTATAGCAGGCTCCTTCCCTACCGTGGCTCTGTATGGCTCCCGGAAGCAGCGGCATGTCCCCCTCCCACACCCCAACCCTCTGAGCCAGCCTGGTGAAAATGAGCACGTGAGAGTGGGAAGAGTAAGACAGAGAGAGAGGAGGGCAGGGCGGGGCAGGGGCAGAGCCTCAGATGTGGGGGCCTCAGAGGAGGGGCATCACAAGGGCAGTGCAAGGGTGTTTGGGTTTGTGCAATTAGAAAGTTGGCAACCCTATGCAGCAGGCAGTCTGATAACATCAGTGTCCATTGGTCCATGCTGAGGCTGCTTCTCTGTCTGCTCCTACTGGCTGGGAGGTCTCTGTGGGCCCAGGCCTTGCTCCTCCCAGGAATTTCATAGAGGATTAAGATCATGGCATTAAAGAGCAGTAGAGCTCAGGGGAAGCCAGTTGCAGGGACTGAAGCATTGACTTGATGTGGCCATTGGGACATAAACCATGGAAGAAGTGGACAGTTCTTCTTGTACTATCTGGAATGTGGACATTGTTTTTACATTCAACTTTAGATGCAGTGAAACAGAGCAATCCAGTCTGGAGAGGAAAAGTGGATTAAACAATATGGCTAGGTCTTCTTCTGGATAGAATGTGTGAAAATTCTGAGCAAACTGGCAATTCCTAATTAAACTATGATTTACGTTTAAAATCAGAATTATACAATGAGATACTTTAAGCAAGGAAAAAAATGACACTCCAATAGCTTGGGATAGTATGATCCTAATCTCAGACAAAAAAGAAGACACTACAGAGATAGAAACTAATAATAAACTACTGAAAAAAGTCCCAACAAATGGTGAAACCCAAGAAAAGGAAAATAAGAAAAGAAGAGATGAAAGACACTAGAGATGAAAGGCACAGAGAACATACTGGCTATGGCAGAAGTGAAACAGAACATGAGAACCCAGACACCTGAGGAGTAATCTAAAGATTAACCAGAAAGGACTAATTGGGAGTTGTCAAGAACAAACAGATGAACAGTAACTACCTCAACACTGTAAATAAAATAGTCTGAAATTTGGTTTAATAGAAGTGGGCAAAACTCTGTGATAGCTGTGTTCTGTATTAAAAATAGAAAAAATAAAGGATTTGAAGGAGAAGTGCATAGAGGGGGTCTCAGAGATGGAGGAGACTGGAGAAAAGAGAGAGGGAATCAGAGGGGCCCTCTGGGGTTCTGTGTAACCCCCACCCCATAACTCAAACGATCAGATGGTAATTTATCCCTGAGGGTGAGGGCGGAGATCCCATATATAGAGAATGTATTTCCCTTGGATTGTTTCCCCTTCAGTCCAAGTGTTACTGGGAGAGTACAGGGTCTTAGGAAAACACTGTCATTTGGGGACAGATTTATATGATATTTTGGTATTTTATTTTTGTATTTAAATGAAGGGGAATGCAGGAGCAGAGAGGGAAAATATGATCAGCGTTTCAGTCGCTTGGTAGTGGTGGTAGCTGTAGATGTAGGTGGAAGAGAGAGAGCGTGGCAAAATGTCTCTCCCTTTTATCATGTCCTTTCTTTCCTCTTGGCTTTGCCCCCCTCCCCCATTCAGAATCAGGTGAGCATTATCTCATCAGTTCCAAACTGACCAAAGGAAGGGGGTGACTCCCTCGAGGATCTAACAGATTCTTTTGTTGCGGCCTAAGACAGTGTCCATTGTTCCTGTGAGGCTGGGCTGGGTTTGTCCCATCCATACCCTGACGTGGTGTGAACTGCCTCTCTATTCTTGGAGAGTATTTGCATGGGCTTGCTTTAAGCCATGAGGACACATTTTCAGCCTCATACCAATATACATGAAATTATAACCTATACTCTTACTATAACATCACTATAACAACCATGCTCAGTGCATTATGAGCCTTCCAAAGACACCCAACATGACAAACTTTGCATCGGATACCATATAATAATTTTATAAAGATGAACATGGGAGTGTAGGGTGTTCCCCCGAGGTACAGAGCATCACATCTGTGATGGGGTGTACCAACACTGCACTGGTGAGGCGAGCGTTAAAGAGCTGCTCAGGGCCCCTCACCTCTGCTGGGTATGCTCTTGGTGGATGGCGCATTGAAAGGGGAGTGACTCAGCTCAGTCTGGGCTGACTGAGGAGAAGCGCAGTCAGGTGCAGCAGCCTCCTGTAGGGAAGCCGCCAGGACTGAGCCTCATAGCCGAGGCGCTGGAAGACCGTTGACTGCAGTAGCTGGGAGATGACTCGCTGAAGCCAGTGGAAGTGACTCTGGAGACGGATCAGAGGGGAACACAGGAAGGACCCCAAGTCCAACCCATGATGACATCGAAAGGACTGGAACCAGGGTAGGAAGTGACCCAGGAAGCGCATGTAGGGGTATCAGGCCCTGAACCCTGCACAAGGGCTACTGTTTCGAAGGGCCATAGGTCAGAACCTGGTGGAGTAGGGTGGGCCTGTGTTCCCCTAGCACCTGCTCCTTGCCAGTAGGTGACACTACCTTGAACTACAGCCGCTAGGCAAAGCAGCCTTTGGACTCTCACCCGTGGGTGACACTACCCTGAGCTATAGCTTCTAGGCAAGGTGGCCTATGGACTCTTGCCAGTGGGTGACACTACCCCAAACTGTAACTGCCAAGGAAATTGACCCTTGGACTCTCACAGTTAGGCATTACACTGCGGAGTATTGCCATTAGGCAGTACTGCTGGCCTGGATCACACAGCCAACCCCCCAACACATGGTGGATATCCTATACCTTGGGAGAGCACCCTGTAACCCCCATAGCCCTCATTTACAGATAATTGTGATATTGCATATAAAGCATTCCTTGTAAGGTATCATGGAAAAGGTTATGATCTAAGTTCCCGCTAAGTTGCAAGGCTGCGTGGCCACACAGCAGCCTATTAAGCGCCGTGTAGGTGCTCAGGGCCACGGTGGGGAGAGATGCCTCTCCCTCAGCCCCAGACCTGCTGGTTCCACCCAAACCCCAGAACAACCGTGGCTGGGGGAGAGGCACCCCATCCCCGGCCCCAACCCAGCCCTGGC